GTGATTAGAAATTAAGGATAAGGAGTTTGTTCATTGTACACTACGTGCACATAACCATGCACTGCACCGTATATATGAAAGCATGTGTTAAGAGTTTAGAATAAAAATTATCTACATGTATGAATATGTAGCATATACATGTACATGTAGCAGTACAGCATGCATGACTCCACCAAATTCTCACTACATTCAGGCATTCTTATACATGTACATGTATATTCAGGTAACGTGCATGTTAAGAGTCTGGTACATGTAGTTATGTCCTTTAGTTCCATATTAGACTTAGATGTCATCAAATGACCATGCAAAACAACTATATATATTCGAAGCTTAACTTGTTCAACTTAATCGTACTTGAAGGCATGTACAGAAAATGCTGGTCTTGGAACCTTGTGTGAGAAGGTCCATTCAGTAGCTGGAACATACATTCAAACCTAAACTGAAACGATATCTGGCTAAAAATTTCTGATACATGTTCATATCGGCAAACGTAGGAGTGCACTTGTAGCTTGAATTGCACATTGATGTGAACGCTGGCACTGCATGTAGTTCGGGAAGTTATAGTTGGTTATTGTTTTTCCTTGGTTTTTTTTTCCTCCACCCAATACTTAAAAATATATAGGCTTAAAATAATGTAGAACTTTAAATAACCCCTAAGTTTTGTTGAAAATGGTTGATAATCTCTCTTGCCAGAAGTTTTTCATCCAGTAAGTCTTCCTTTGTTCAGTTTTGCTCCAAGGGGTAATAAAATAGTACGTCTAACTGACTTCAAAGCTGCTGGTCAGAAAGGTTTATGTACCTCACACTGTTGGGTTGAATACTGGACTGGCTTTAAATTGGAGTGGATAGGGCCAGACTCTTTTCATACTGAGTCTAAATGGTCACTGTCCCTGATCAAACTGGCCCCAAACTAGGTGCAATAGTATTATTTCAAAAATTTCCACCTTGAATTTCATCATGATAGTGTGTGTGTGCATGATATCCCAGCCTGCAACAGGGGAAAATCCTAGAATTGGGCTGTCCTACGGGAGTCACCGACCAGATTGTTAGATTGGGTGGAAGAAAATGTTTGTTGGGAGAATATTCAAGACCTGCACATTGCCCAGTCATTCTCATGATGCATCCAGATGCGTAAGCCACAATGCCCAAGCCAAGAATAAATCAGCACCAGAGTGAATGGAAAGCAAGCTGAAGACTTGCCACCTGGACTTGTCTTCTACTATGTTGGTGTTACCGAGTGGTTAAATTTTACCAAAGAGAGGGGTGGTAGATAACCCAAAATATTAAGGAAACAGGGATGCAGTGTAAAGAAATTTAAATAAAACCCACCAATTTACGAAAATAGACTGCTGATTTAATTAAAATTGAAAATTAGAACAATTACATTCAGTTATTAATTCAGATTAATCCAAGTTACATTAACCCCTTAAATGTTGGTGCAGTCAAAGGACGGTCAAATCCAATTTTGCCCAACCTGGCATGTATTTTTGTTGGCTGGCCACCATGCACAAACTACCCAACCCTAACTACCTAACTGGCCAAGATTTATCAAACAGAAAGCAGGCCAGTGGGAAGGCACCATAAAAATCATACAAATGGGTGGTTAAACACTGAAGGTTTAGACCAGACACTTGACTGGCAAAAATGACTGCTCAAAATATTGTACCAAATGACATTTGCATAGGAGGGTTAAGCAAAAAAACCTTAAGAAACCCCCAAAACACCCACAAAAATAAACAGCAGTCAATATGATGATGGAAGCATCTGTAAATTAAAATGAAAATACATTTGTATAAGTGAACCAGCATCATATATATTAGAAGTACATGTACAGTTATATGCATATACTGGATTCATTTACATTTAAGGCATAAAATATGCAGCCCTGCCACAGCATAGGTTTTGAATTTATGGTTTACATTCCTTACTATTTTTTTTATGAACATGCACTAATCAGTTTAATAAGAAATTAAATGTTTCACAACCACCAGTAATATTGTTGAGAATACGAACTACCAAAATTAACTACTCAAGATTTTATGGGAGGGCTACTTGTACATCAAATACCAGGTGGTGTAGGATGACCTACACATGTACATGTACGATAGTGCTAGGTCCATAGGAGGACTAGGTCGGTCACTGTAAATCAGAATTAAACATTTAATGTAACACTGAAACAAATCATTATAAGTTAAGGATGTTGACTAAATATGATCAACCACTCATTTTTATTGAGGTGTACAATGTTCAAAAATATTGATATCTCTAAACAATATGCAAAGATTCTTGCAAGAAACTACCTGAAGCAAATTAGAGTTCAACAGAACATAGTTCCATAATGTGCCTACAAAATCGCAAAATGCAGATTTAAATGTGTATAATCGAACAATTATTACAGGAAAATTAGAAGTGCTCACTCACCATGTGTCCACTGCCACCATGCCATACTGCCGAGTTTCAAACCCAAAGTTTACAATATTGGGACTACATCTGAACTAGGCTAGCGCACAACATAAGTTAGCACTATCAATATCAATGTGTGAACTTCACACGGAGATGTGTATCCCACACTCTTGCAATGCAGTGTGCAGCAAAGACACTAACGTGACGTAGAGAAGAGCACCTTGCAAGACGAAAGGCAGAGAAGCAAAGCTACACGGCAAGACGCACTATATGTAGAGAAATGCGTCAAATAACTTGCCCCACCCCAACAGCGGAACTCTTAATATGCAACAGTTATATAACTCCTACAAACGCAACACCACAACTTACAATTTATACAAAGCAGCGCTGCATTCCTACAGAGCTAGACATTGTGATACATGGCGAGAGAGGGCGCACTTCAACTAATTACAAAGGTGCACTAAAAAAAGTGACATTAAATCTGGGAAGGTTGACAGTACTTTGTGGACTGGTCACATTGGCAATGTCCATAAACCAACCACAGATAATTGCAAAGACAACAAGATTCATACTAAAGATCTCCAGATAATGGGAGACATAATCCAAGCCACACAATAAGATAAACCCCAGACTAATGCACCACTGACATGTATATGAGCCCTGAGCTGGACCAAGAGAGGACACAGTTTTCCTGTTAACAGAGACTCCTTTGGTGGGAACTGCACTTGGCTGGTTCAAAAATGACAATGAAATGCATGTGTTACGGTGGCATTGCTACCAGCAAAATGAAAACTCCCCACCAACATTGCTCTTTTTAACCGATGAGGGGGTGTTTCTGCTCAATGCAGATAATGTATCCCTGAAAATAAAGTTCTCCATGTCTTACCTAGCTTTGACATGTCATATGAAGTTGTGACAGCCTGATGGGCTGCTCCATCTGATATTCCAACAAGGCTTCCCACGTGCCAACTATAAGGGGTGGGGGTACACAGTCACAGCCACCGAAACCTCACAAAGAGGGTTGACCAAATATATGATGAAGTTTAACATCAGCAGTAGAAAATCTGGCAACAGAGATCAACTAAAATAAGATCGGTCTGATGATTCCAGAAGGATGTAGTGTGTACCCATGACCTAATCGTGCTGAAAACGCCAGTGGGCCAACCGCGCCGCAAAATCAACCCAAATAGAAATAAAGGCAATTCCTGGAGATAACTGCAGCTAGTGGTATGACATGAATCCTGGGATGTCCCAGAGACTGTTCACTATAAGTAAGGCTACGTATGGCCAGGACACTAATATTAGGTAACCTGACTGAAGAAGAAAACATTCTGAAATTACAGTAAACTCCGGCTTAGTCGGCACTCTTAAGACTCAAGAAATTATGACGACTTATGCGAATGCTGACTTGTGTTGAATGTGGCCTTACACTTATGCGTGTATCGCCTATGTACGTTATGATTCCTTGCACAAATTCAATGGCTTTGATGTACCCTGGTTTGTTTCTACCTCCATGGTTGATCCCAGCAAATTTGTTCTTGATTATTATCCTCACGGGCTGCAATTTCAATATTGATCATGTGCCCCTAAGGACGAAGCAAGGACGGCAAGCCACTCACATATCACATTACAACTTGACAGTGCAGTATGTATGTATGTGATACAGTTATACGGTACAGAAACCATACACTTATCCGCACACGCGCATTGGTTCAGTTAGTTTAGTATATTCTGGATACCAGACCCAATGATTCTGACTACCTGATGAATCATTGTCAAGGGTCGTCAGGGAGTCTTTGGGAAGGGAACCAGACAACTTTCAATAAGGCGACCCCCAAAATGGACAGAGCGCATGCGTGTAGCACTAGAGGGGTTACTGGTATTGATGTACTCATGCTGGCCATGCCAATTATCAACCACGGCCTGTGCTGCCAATAAACAGACATCAGTCGAGCAGTGTGGGACTTGTCACTTGACACTTCTTGGCAACCGCGGTGAAGGAAACTGATACCGAAGCATGAATTTTTTGTGGTTTTGTGGAAAAGGGACCGAGAAAAACATGCAGACTTATAAGAAAAGCCGACTTATAAATGCCAACTTAGAAATGAAATTTTCAATGGAAATGCATTACATATGATCAGGACTTTTGTCAAAAGGCCAACTTAGACGATATGACGAGTTACGAGATGCCGACTTACTCAGAGTTTACTGTAGTTGTCTCAAAACACTAAGACAGAGTGGTTTTCCATTCTATGTGTGGTGTGTAAATGTGAATGATTACACTGCATTCATAACTCCTCTTGAACAGTTACATATTGTAACCCTATTTTCTTGGGCTTTATACCAGCGGCCTATACCAGGCAAGATATGGGACAGAGGGGTACCCCCCCTTACCTGTCCAATCCGTATACACACTCTCGACTATTGTTACCTAACACATCCCCCCTAGAAGTCTGTAANTAGGGCGGCCAGCTACCCCTAGATTAGTGGATAATATTTACTATTTCTGCATGATGGCAACCATCAGCTGAACAAGAAGAGTTAAGGGACTCTTTATCTTGCATTAATGAAATAAATGTTTGTGTGCATATATGTAGGTGAGTCACCACCCTCCAGCTGCTGCAATCCATGTGGAAGCTAAAGACTGGATTCTGTGGACAGACATTACCATTGCTAGTAAATTCAGAGGGAAATACCTTCAAGTCTTCCCTCAAGGAATTATACATATACAGTTCCGGCAATCAGGAAGTCACTACACATATCGAAAGGTTACTTCTACAGTGCACAACATCATTGTTGGAAAGCTGTGGGTGGATCAGGTAAGTTTTCCTAGCTCTATGGTTTGATTGATTTGGCACCCTTTGTTCACAACAGGAATCTCTCCACTTGAGACAACATTGCTGTTATACTATGCTTACATGTACATGTATGTGGACAGGCAAAGATTTGTTGTATAAGGGACCATTCACTTCACCATGTACGTGTAAAGTGCGATGGATGGGGAGAGCAATTTATACACCTTGTAATTGGAAGGAGAGAATAAGGCTGCCAACATTGAGTGAGGGTTCAATGTGTGAATAAGTGTAGCCATTGCTCTAAAGGCCCACTTTGGCTAGTCAGTTTGAATAATTGAACATCTGAATATTCAACATTCCACTCAATTGTATATTTGTATATTAGGTAATACCTGATGATGGCAGCCTTTTGATGAACAAGGCATGAATAGAAGCAGTGTTATGAACACACAGAACAGCACATTATAATCTTTACAATTATGATTTTTAGCTTCTCACTTTATGACCATCTCCAACAATTTCCCAAAGCTTTGAGCACATGTGCAAATGAGACATACTTTTTGCCCTTGTGAGAATTTTATGTTTTCAACAAAAGTATGATCAGTTATGATTATGATTCTGTAGGGCAAAGATATTCTGCCGCTGAGGTGCACTCTGCTAAACCAAACAATCAGGAATACTATGGTAATGACTTGAATTTTATTGCCACATACATACACATGAGATTTTTTACCCAGATATTTGTGGGGCATTTTTTTACCCAGATCAGTTTTATTGCTAAGTCAGGGAACAGTCTGAGTCAATGTTTCCTCTGTGGAACAACATAACAGGTTATTATACAAAGAGACTTGCTTGGGGTCTGACTAATCACCGTCAACACACCATCAACACATGATAGTAAAGTCAACACCTCTGAAATACATTTTAAATCAGCTAAAGAGGCATAGAATTGTAATATTTTGGCTAAAGTAGAATTTCAGGTGGTTTGAGGTTACATTTCACTTTTGAAAATGGACTTTTTTCAGCCCAAATGTAATCTCTAAGCAGCGTAACAGTTGACTGTCATTTTGCCTTCTAACGATTTGAACTGCACCATTCAGGTATGGGTGTGCATATAAAGTAAAAACAAGTGTTATAGAAATAAAACTGTGGGCGCATTTTAAATTTTCAACTTTAAAGGCCTGATTAAATGATCAAAGGAATAAGCAGAAATCCCATGAAAGAGTTTTGGAGGAAAAAGGGATAAATTTCCAATCATACACTTGTTGGTTTATTGTATAATTTTGTCATTCCTTTAGCGTAACAGTCTGGACCAAACTGGCCTCGATGCAACATGTCTGCCGATTTCGTATCTGAAAGGGAGCAGTTTTTTAGAACTAAAAATGGCAATTTTCAAGAGTGTAACCTTTTGTGCTTAAGCCAAACTGCCCTTTTGATAAATACTGTATACTGTTTATTTTAGTTTTGAACGTATTGTAGAGGTGTTGAAAGTATGTTGACAGTATTGTGCATATTGATGATGTGTTCATGGTAATTAGTAGACTGTTGCTATGCCCCCTGCAGAACCACATTGTAAAAGCAAAGCATATGTTGCCAGTCGTGTCCTCTGAGGAACAACATAACAGGTTAACCCTTACCCCTTAGGTGTATGTAAAATCGTATTGAAATTGGAGGCTTTGGGACTGTTGGGGATAGCTATCATGTATTTCAAGATGACGACTTACATGGCAAGGTTGCCATATGTATATTCCATGGTAACCACAAGAGGGCGCTATATAATATTTCCACTTCAAGGACAAATAAGTGTACTTTCAGATCATAACATAAAATATGTAGTGAACTCTTTGAGTCCACTGCTTTCATCCTACCCCAAACAGTTGCTGAATATGCAAATTTCCTTTGTGCCTTATTTTAGTCACTAAAAACCTGATCAGCTGCTTAGCGGACTGGCCGCCATGTTCATCCTTTTTGTTAGCGCCATTGCTAACGGATGTGTCGTTTCTGGCATCTTCGAGTTTCCGTTCTCGTTCCATATTCCTGTGGTATGTTGATCAACTGTAATGTATAAATAATAAACTGTAGTTTCCAAATATGCACATGTTAATCCTAAATGTGTATTATTTGTCATTTTGTGTGGTGTAGTATTATTTGTCATTTTGTGTGGTGTTTTCTCCATTAGCTTGTATGTGCATGCTCGTAAGTTACCAATGTTGACTCTATGTAGCCTCTTGCCACCTAGCAATATTATATAGGGTCACCCGGGCAACCTGCGACAGTGGGGTCTTAACTCATTCGGTAGTTCCCAACTCTCGCCACAGACCAACAGGAGTCGGTATCAAGCCGAAGCCTGGACCTCCGACATTTGCCCCAGACCCTGATCAGCTACCTGTGAAATCCTGCCCGCATCCACCCCTTGTAACCTAGTCTGCCCATGGCAACTATATTGTTCCTTCTTACATGGGTACCGGGCATGGGTACAGCTCACACCCCATCTCGTACCCGGGCGTGATGCTGACTTTGATGATCCCAGCACTTTAGATCAACCACAAACCGAGCACGGTGCATCCTCTGAAGACAAAGGTATCACCTCAACATCTAGTCTTACACCCTGAGAGGCACGTCTCTGTCTTCTTCAGAGAGACATGATTCTGATACTAGGCCTGCCCATTCCCTCTACCTCAGTTGAGGCCTCGTTGCACGGCTCTTTCAAGCGCCACCTTGCTAGATTGAAGGCCTTGATGTCTCTTTTCCCGGAATAACCGCTGGATCGCTTGTGCATCAAAATGTTTAAAGTCTTTGCCTGACGGAAAGTGGTGACGGCCTAATTCACGTTTTCCGGGGAGGATTTTGACAAATTCCTCTCCATCCTGGATATTCCCGTCACCACCAGAGATAACCTGGCTTCAGATGCTCACAGGTCAAGTAGGAAAAACCCATTCAAGGACAAGGACAAGGCTTTCCTTGACCTCGACCTGACCAAGCTTGATAGAGCCTCATGGCATGGTCTTTGCTGCACTGCTCTCCTGTCACTTTTGTACCTTGCACACGTCCGTGAGGAAGACTTGCCCGTCACTCCAAATTTAGCACCCGTGACAGTCGAGGCTCTTGATGAGAACGTTATTACTGTGTTGCATTGATCTCTGTAATAGCTACATCTGCACGAAGATCCAATGTGCTCGATGCCATGAATATTCCCTATGATGGAGTCAAGTCAAAATTTCAAAATATTCCACTTTATGGCAAGGACTGTTGCTTGGAAATTCATGGAAACCATGGAGGTCGAGGCAGGCTAAATTGACACCACCCACAAGCTTAGTCTTCGCGAACTACCCCCTCCACCACCGCGTCAGTACCAAGCAGATAACCACTGAGCTCAACCCACCAGACTGGCCCCCACGTCATTGGGAGTTCAGCTCTTCTTGGCCCTTCCTTCTGCCCATTCAATTTTCCGGTCACGGACGTCCCTCCTTTTCTCAACCTGCAAGGTCGTCACAGAAGAGTCAAAAGGGAACAGTGACCGGCCCGCTCTCATTCCAGCCTTACGGTCCAGCCTTCATTCGGGGCCTGACACCAATGACTTATCAGATTTGCCTGCAACCTCTGATCCTGAACCGATGCCTCTTGACCAGACAGATGTTCCTGTGTGCACAAGACCAACAGATCAAACTTCAAGCAACTCAAATCCCTGGAGTTGACAATTCAATTGTAGATACCCTTTCTTGAGGAAGGGTACACCCAGCGGAGTGGATACTGCATTGCGGTGTGGTGGAAAAAGATCTTCACCAAATTGAAAAAAGCAAACACCAATGTTCTCCAGATCAACTAGGACCATGTTCTGGCCTACGCTTTTCCTCCAATATCCCTAATCCCAGCAGTACTCTTCGAAATCAAGCTGGGGCATTGCCACGTACTTCTCATTGCACCGTTCTGGCCACACCAACCTTGGTTCTTTTTTTAACCAGACTGCTCGTTCAGACACTTTGTTCTGCCCCCAAGGCTGGATCTCCACTATCAACTGCAGTCGGGCATACTCTCAACCAATGTCCCTACACCTGACTTGCTGACCATTGTCAAACAATTGCTCCAATCAGCGAGCCTTTCTGAAGAAGCTGCCGAGATGGCTGCAAGGGGTTGATGCGAATCCACATGCAGCATCTACAGCAGCAGAATACAACATTTCGCTTCATGGTGTGCAGAGCAGAGTCTTACTCCAACCGAAATTCCTGTGACCGCTGTGACCGATTTCTTCATGTATTTATTTAAATTAGGCCTACAAGTAATGACTATCCGCAACTACCTGTCCCCCGTCGCAGATATACACGGCGCATTCCTGATGGCTCAACTCTATCAGACTCTATTTTTTCAACATCTTTTCCAAAAAATCTTTGTAGAGTGTCCCAACCAAACGACTGTTTCCTTCCTGGGATTTATCAGTTGTCCTCCAGTTCCTCGCCAGACCTCTATTCAAGCCCTTCAGCAAGGCCACGTTACCACACACCTCATTGAAGCTGGCCTTTCTACTGGCAGTTACCACTTCACACTTGGGCAGTGAACTGAAATCACTATCCATCGCCGATTGCCACATCAGATAGGAACCCCACAGTGTATGCCTCATCCCAGCTCTGGGTTTCCTCACCAAGAACCAGTCAATTTCTTTCTACCCTCCTGATATATTTGTTCCGGGTATAACCAAATACACTGGAACTTCAGATGAGAAGTCATGGTATCCAATAAGAACTCTTAAATGGTACTTGGCTAGAACCTGGTACGACATCGCAGCCCCTCATGATGATGATAAAGCCACTCCAAGCTGTTCCCAGAGACGCTATAGCCAGATGGGCAGTCTCAGCCATCAAATTCGCCAACCCTAACTAGCCGGACTCTTCAAGTGATCAGACTTAACACCTCGACAGGGCCCACAACATCCGTGCAGTATCTGCTTCCCGGGACTACTTCCCGGGTGTCCCAATGGAAGAGATTTGTAAGGCAGCATGTTGGAAGACCTCATCAACATTTATCGTATG